TGGCCCCCTGAGGCCTTCTGACCTGGCAGGGCCTTCACGGCCCACTCTCAGCACAGTCCCGAGAAATGGAGTGGTGGTCCACCACGGCTCCCGCGTTCCCTGGGCAGACTGGCCACAGGCTCCCTCTGCACCCAGGCCAGGAGACGGCTCTAGGTGGTCCACAGGTCCACCTCAGGTTGTGTCCCGTGAGGTGGAGGAGATCCGAACCCTAAGACAGGAAGTTCTGGGCAAGGGGAGGAGGCCTTGGCTCTCAGCCATCCACGGAGCCCCTCAGAGGCTGCAGGAGAGACCAGGGCAGAGCTTCTGCAGAACGAGGCCCCCCAAGGGGGAGAGTAGGTCTGCGCAGGCCCAGGAGGGGACGAGGAACAGGAGCCCCGGCGTCCACAGCGGTCTCTACTCTCGAGTCTGCGAAGGGGGAGGAAACGCCACCGGCGGCGGCAGAGTAAGGCCTCCCAGGCTGCGTTAGAGCCGAGAGGCCATGAGATACTGTGTATGGCCCCGACTCAACCCGGGGATAAGCCCGACACCCCTGCACGGTGACACACACGAGGGCTGGTGGCAGGTCTGCTGTGGTGACGCGGACCTGGAAGTGGGTGATGCACAGCCACGAGAGCAAGCCAGTGCTGCTCCATGGGACACAGGGTCGCCACCCGCAGAAGCCACCGGCAGACGCCACGGAACGTTTGGCTTGGACCTGGCACGTCTCCACAGGCCACGTGTTCCAGGGTGGCAGGACTGGGAGGCGGGACCCCAGCCCCTTTGCTCTCTGCTTCCTGGCCACGAAGTGGACACCATGTCTTTGTGTCCTCCGTGATGTCACGCCCTGGACCCTGGGCCTTCCCAATGAGCCAGAGCACCTTTTCTTCCACCTCCGTGCTCCGTGCTCCGTGTGTTGGATACAAAGCCACTAGGGCGCCTGTGGGAGGAGCCAGAGGCCGCATGCTGCTGCTCCACTCCTAGGTCAGCTGGACACCACGGTGGGTTGCAACCAGGGCTGAGGGCATGTTCCATCCTAGTAACTCAGCAAGTGCAGCTGCCCAGGTACCCTCTGGTGTGCTCACCCAGGTTGCCAAAGGGCAAAAGCCCCCTCGTGTTTCTGGTCCTCTCCCTGCCACGGCTCAGTCTCCCACTCTTGGTACCGTGGGGAAGGCTTCCAGGGCAGGAAAGCTCTGGGTCTTCCCACAGATGAGGGAAGCTGCCTCAGTAGCTCATCCTGGCTGCTGGAGGCCAGTTACCCCTGCTGCATCCCAGCTGACTGTGGAGGGCAGCTCTTAGAAGGGAGTGAAGAGGGCCTGCAGTGGCCAAGCTACTTCTGGGTCGTGTCCTACCTCAAGAGACCTCACCTCTCCTGGAAACTGTTCCAGGCCTACAGTCAGAGACTGACCTCTCCCCGTAGGTCCCTGGGAGGAAGTCCTAGGGGACCCACAGGACTTCTCTGTCCCATGCTGCTCCACAAGGAAACGCAGCTGTTGCCCTCTCCCCTCCTTCTGTGCAGGGTCCAGAGGAGACTGAAGGGCAGTGGGCCTGCAGATGCTCCTGGAACTCCCGTCTCTGGACTCTGGAGGGTACAGCAGCCCTGCTCCACCCTGAGCTGCCCCTCCACAGGCCGTCAGTGGGTGCCTGGGTTTGGCTTCCCAGGCCATGACGGGCTGAGTGGGGCCCCTGCCAAGCCCAGTGGACACTCCTCCCCCTGCTGGGGGGACAGACAGTGCCCCGAGGGGGAGCTCCTCCCCAGGGCTGGCCCCTGCAGGGCTGGGCTTCCCCACACTGAGCTTCGGGATGGCGTGTTTGGGGGGCCTGGCTGGTCTGGCTGCTCTGGGAGTGGCCCTTCTGATTTGGGAAGACTGGACCTTGCTCTGAGGAGGGAACCCCAGAGCCAGAAGCTCTTCTCTCCCACGGACACAGTTTAATCTGCTGCCTCAAAGGTCTGTTCAGTCCCCTGGGTGCCCCGCCCTGAAGCTGGCCACGGGGAGGGCCTTGTCCCAGGGGCCGTCCCGGATCCTACTGCCCAGCTTGGCTGGTGGATGAGAGGCTCCGTGCCCAGGGACTAGAGTATGCAGACAGGCTGAAGCCAGGGGGCGCCCCAGCCTGACCCACCTTGCCCCCCAGCCCACCCGGGCTGTCTTCTGGGCCCAGCCGTCCGGCTTGCAGCCTCCACCTGCGGGCAGTGACTCCCATGAGCAGCACAGGCCAGGTGGTTTGCTATGCACTCTGGGCTATTCTTATCCTGACAGTGATGTCACCAGCAGCCAATGGGAGGCAGGTTTATTTCCAGGGCCGACAGATTGATAATGGTTAATTTTAGCTGGGTCTTCATTGCCGAGCCAGCGGGGAGGGGGCAGCCTGTGCCTCTCTGACAGCTCGAGGATGGGCTCCAGGCTCCCAGAGGGGCTGAGGGGGCAGGGCCTGTCCCTTTTCCTTCCATCTTGCTCCACAGAAGCAGCCCTGGTAGCCCTGGCCCTCCTGGCCTGCCCTTCCCCCACCCTTGGCTGCTCCCCATGGCCACGGTGACCAGTGACTCAGATACAGAAGGAGGGCTACTGAGGGGCCTGGGGCTGGCTTGGGGCAGGGCCAGGGGAAGCACAGTCCATGCCATAGGGCTCCTGTCTGGTAGTCGCAGGGGTCTGACTCAGGCCTTCTGAGCACCTACTTGCAGTGTGACCTGGAGTAGGATCTTAGCCTCTCTGTGCCCAGATACCTCATGGGTTCACAGTGTCCTGAGGCCTGCCTTGCAGCCCTTACCCCACAGGCGAGAGTGATCAGGACTTGGAGATGGCTGTTCCATTTGGTCTGTGATGGAGTTACTCAGCACTGCTCAGTTCCTGGTGGGCCAAGTGCTGCTGACCATTCAGAAGTTAGGGTATGTCTTTGTCTTAGTCTGGTGCTATAACAGAGTTCCTGAGATCAGGTGATTTATAAAAGACAGAGATTTGCTCCTCACCCTCTGAGGCTGGGGAGTCTGAGATCAAGGTGTGAACATCTGGTCAGGCCTTCTTGCTGTGTCATCTCATGGAAGGAGAAGGAAGAGCAGAGGAAGACCCCCTCCCTCAAGCCCTTCTCACAGTGGACCCCTCCCAAAGGCCACCTCCCAGCTGGGCTGCTCTGGTCAAGTTTCCAGCCCTAAACCTGGCACCTAGAGGCAGGAGCGGCTATGGGAGTTGTCCAGTGCTACTCTGAGGCCAGCAGCTGCTCAGCGCTGCCAGTGTGGGCAGGCGCTCAGCACCGTGAGCCTGACGCTGCAGTTACCTTGTGTGGACCCCCTTTCTGTGCATTCTGAACATCTCCAGTGCCAGTGGGGGCTCGTGCGCCCTGCAGGACTGTACAGCGGCATGTCCTGGAGACCCTGGGGGACCCCTGACCCACTCCCCTAAGGTCAGTGCTCAGGTATTTTGGGGAGGGTGCCATGTCCTGCCACTATGGCCATGGCCCTGGGCCATTCCAGGCCTGCTCAGGGCCTTGCTGTCCAGCTGCTCCCCAGAAATGCACAGTAAGAGCAGTGGCTCAGACCCTAGCCGGGACCCTCTGAGGCTGGCAGCATCCCAGGGACCTTGACCCCTTTGTGTGGCCGGCCAGCCTGCAGAGCCCTAAGCCCGCCTAGTCTTCAGGCAGGAAGGGGGCATGGAATAGAGAGACTGGCAGGGCGGGCGGGCAGGAGGTCTCGCTGTCTGCCAGGCGTTTATTTTTAATTCCTGGCTCCCAACAGACAATATCAGCAGCACTCGGAAGAGTCCGGTCATCTGAGAGAGCAACCGTGACTCAGGCCAGTGTGAGCCCTCCCCTGCTGGAGGACCCTCCCCAGCAGCTGGGGAGGCAGCCTTCACCTTTGCTTCCTCCTCACACTGCCTGCTCCAGCGCCTCACCAGACCTCACCCAGCC